ATACTACAGAGTTAGCATCTTTGAAACAAGCACACACAAAACCCCGGGAGGATATTTTCAGATACTCACTTACTGTAATAGTAAGTTCTGCTCAGCCTGTGCACAAACTACTGCAGAACGGTCACAGACAGCTCAGTCCCTTACACACACTAAGCAAGGATGAAGCCTTTTAACTTTTTTAATGCAAATAATACAGTTGTGACAGCTCTAATTGCATTTCACTGCATTAACCTAAACAAAATAGTTTGCTGGACGGGAGATTCCACTGATGAGCTCATCAACAACTGAAATCTGCACAGCACTGCACTTCCAGCACCTCGCATAAAGCTTATTTAAGAATATCTGATGACATCAAAGAGCACTAGAATGGGTATTTTTGAGTCCATGCCACAGACTAAGCAAGATCACTTCAAACAACACAGATTTGGACAAAAGCTGTTACAGCAACAGCACTTTTATTCTTATTTATCACAGCTAAAAACACAAAGAGAGCATTACAGCCATTCTAAGATCTTGCATTTATTCATTCCACAAAAGAACAAGTTCTCCACAATTTCAGAACACACTCATTCTAACTAGGTGTTCAGTGACAGTACCATCTGACTAACATATGCTTGGTTTAACTTGTTTCTCAACTTTGTTTCTGGTGCTCATCTAAACCTGATTTATCACTGAGCAAGAGATGTCACTGGAGTCATCTCCACTCCTGATGCCAGACTGCATCTGACAGCTCCTCACTTCCATCCCGTGGGATTACTCAGGAGTAACAGAGGGCCTTTTGCATCACAAGAACAAAACACAAACTCAAAATAAATAAAACAATACTTAAAATACAGATTTCAGATCACTCAGCTAAATAGAAAAAAGAAAACATGTGATGTCACCTTTATTTAAATGCTCACTGAACAATGACTACAGAACAAAAGAGCTCTCAAGTTCAAAGACGAACTCTTCAAACATCTGGGTAGCTGCTGAATGCAGCAGTAACATAAGTGCTTTATAGTAGAATTTACAACTCACAACAATAATACGAATCTTTTAACTGCATAATACCAGATGTCACACTGACTGACACGAAGCACCGTAAGGACTGCCATCCTGGACAGCTTTTTTTATTAATTACCTCAAAATTCTCACTGACTTCTTGCATCATTTTCAATTTGGTTTCATCGGCTGAAAAAGGAAATTCAAACAAAAAAGTAAATAAATACAAAGCTAAATCATGAAAGCAAGTACCAGGCTCACTGACGAAAGAAGCAATCAGATCTTATCAGTTTAGCTGTCACCGCCAAATTATAAGGCACACAACTCTCACAAACATCCCTGTCATACAACCACACACACGACTCACTCTCTCTTTGGCTCAAGGAAATATTATTCATCACTTTGCTTCCTCAAAAATCAGTATTTTAACAAAATTTAAGCTGAATTTAGCATGCATTTGTCAACTTTTTGAACAATATTCAGACATTTGTGAAACAAACCACAAGTGAACACAATTCTATGATTCTATTAGCAGTCCAATAAGACAAAAAGGAAAACAGTTTCAAACTAGAAGATGGGAAATCTAGATTGAATGTAAGGAAAATGTTTTTTACAATAAGGATAGTGAGGCAGTGGCACAGGGTGCAGAGAATGTTGGTCATGCCCTGTCCCTGCAGACATCCAAGCTCAGGGGATGGATCAGAGCACTGATAGAGCTGTCAGTGTCCCTGCTCAGTGCGGGGGAGTTACACTGGATGAGTTTGAGGGTCCCCTCCAGCTCGAAAATGATTTTATGATTTAACTTACAATACAGAAAAAAATGTATCTTACGTGTATTGACATCTGTAAGAGCAGCCACAAATTGAAGGTACTTTTTCATCAGAGTGGTTTGGTCCACCACTGTGGGCCCTTGTGCTGAAACAAATGCCATCTTGGAGGAGGGAGATCAGCTTTCACTACATAGAATCAAGATCAACACGCCTACAAAATATATATGTGTGTGTTAGTTTACATACCTGCTCAATTGCAGTCATCATCTTACCCAAACCCGTTCTTCTAACACACTGAAGAGAACATATCTCACTCACAGAGTCACAGGGCACATCTCTGCAGGACTACGTGAACAATGCCTGGTGTGTGCAGCACCCAGGAGCACAGGCACAAACCTCCAAACAGCAAGGCGACCCAGCTCTTCCCATCTGCCCTCTCTGCATCTGCTCTGAGGCCTCACCTGGAGCACTGCACCCAGGCCTGGGGCCACAGCTCAGGAGGGATGCGGAGCTGTTGGCATGGGCACAGAGATGCTCAGAGGTTGGACGGGGACAGGCTGAGGAAATCGGGGGTGTGCAGCCTGGAGAAGAGAAGGCCGCGGGAAGACTCAAGAGCAGCCTTACAATACTTAAACAGAGAGTATAAACCAGAAGGAAACTGACTTTTTACATGAGTAGACAGTGAAAGGGTAAGGGGGAATGGCTTTAAACTGAAAGAAGGGACATTTAGGTTAGACGTCAGGGAAATTTTTCTCCAAGAGATCGGTGACGTGCTGTCAGCGCTGCGCAGAGCTGTGCTGCCCCATCCCTGGAGGTGCCAAGGGCACGGATGGGCAGCCGGAGCTGCCGCCCGGTTTGGGAGCTGGCAGCCCTGCCCACAGCAAAGAGACGGAGCGGGGCGACTCCAGAGCTCCCTTCCAACGGAACCATTCTGGGCTCCCAAGATCCAAGTCAGCATCAGCGCCTTCCTTCTGCTTCCACCGCTCTGCCCTCCGACCCGCATCCCACCAGCGACCCGCAGCCGGAGCTGCCAGCAGCCGAGCTGCCGCTCGCGGCCCTTCCCGCCTGCACAGCAACCCGCGTTCGGACATCCTCAGCCTCCGGCTCCGGCCTCGCCGCCGCTCGCGGCCGCTTACCTGCACCGCCCGGCGCTCCCCGCCGCCGCCATCACGCCGCCCCCATCCCCGCCGACACGGACACGGAACGAACGGCCGTGCCGGCGCTCCCTGCGGCCCAAGGCCTCCGAGCGCGGATCTGCCGGACGGCGGCCCTTCCTCCTCCTCTGTTCCGTGCCCCGCCGCCCCACCGCTTCGCCCCGGCCCGCCACCCCCGCGCTGCTCACCCCGCGGCCCCCCGACTCCTCCTTTGTTGCTGCCGGAGCCCGGCGGCGGCGCATGGGCGCAACGGAAGCTCCCGAGCTCAGTTCCGGCCGCCTCCTCCCGCCGCCCGCCTCGCGCGCACCCCCGGGCGGAGCGCAGCGCAGCCATCGATCGCAGCGCCGCTACGGCGCGCGGGGAGCGGCGCTGCCCCGGGCTGCGCGGCCCCGCCGGGTCTCTCCGAGGAGCGTCCGCCCCAAGCGCTGCGGCCGCGGGCGGCGGGACGCGCAGCCGAGGGCACGGGGCACGGCCGGACCGCCCCGCGGGATCTTTTGGGCGCTCGGGGCTGCTCGCGCACCGCCCCCTCACAGCACGGCGCGCCCCCGCCCGCGGAGCCGGGCAGCGCCGCAAGGAACGCGGAGGGGCTTCGGTCAGACGGTGCCCCGCGGGTCACGGAGCCGCGGCGGGCAGGGCTGCCAACTGCTGGATCGGGGCGGCCCCGGGCCGTCCGCGTCTAGACTTTTGACGGCGCGGCCCCGCGGGCCCTTCCCCCTGGGGGTGGCTGGGCGCCGCCGAGGGGGAGCGGCCCCGGGGGCGGACGGACGGAGCGCCGCAGTACCGCGGGCGGCCTCGAGGGCAGCGCCCTGCGCTGAGCGCCCGTCATGCTGCGGCTGAGCTGCGTGCTGCTGCCCGCCGTGCTGCTGCTGCTGCTCTGCCGTGCCGCCGCGGCGCCGGGTAACGGAGAGAAGGGCCTGCGGCCCCGGGAGATGGAGAGGCGGTCGGGCGTGGGGCTGCGGGGACGGCGGGGCGGGGACGGGCTGCGTCACCTCGGGGAGCTGGGCCGGCGGGGGGCTGATGGTTGCCCGAAGCCGGGAAGCGCTTCTGCTTCCCGCGGCGCTCGGGCAGCATACGGCTCCCGCTTTGGTCTCGGGTTGGAAAGGTGGAAGGGACCGCGGAGCGCTGCTGAGCTCCGTGCCCGTGGGGGAGGCACTGATCGGCGGCGGCGGGTCGACCCTGGCTGGGCAGAGCCCGGCGATAGCCTCAAGGAGATAACCGCGAGGCGGCTGTTTTTTTCCGCAAGTTTCGCTGAGAAGAAGCGGAGGACGTCCTGAACCTTCTAGAGAGCTGGAACCTCGCAGCACTCGGTTTCATTAAATCACGTTTTCCTCTGGGAACCCCAGAAGCTGAACAAACTCAGAGCTGTTCCTTGCCCTGTATGAGGGCAACAGACGAGTTCTAGTTTGGTCAGTACTGTGAAAATTGTTTTTCACCACTCATTTGCATCCAGATTTGCTCAGAACCTGCAATCCCTGGAATAACGTGAGGGCACTACACGGATGCTTTGTGCTCCTCTCCCACCCCAGCCAGAGGGCTGCAGGAAAGGCAGTGCAGGGGTTAGCTGGCCCACTGCTCCCTCCTGTCCCCATGAGCAATCTGTTAGCTGCTGGAAGACTGAAGGAGCCCCACAGCTGCGCAGTGCTCTGCCTAGCATTGCCCCCATGCTCTCCCATGAGAGAACAGCTGGGAGGAGAACTGCTCAGGGTGGCAAAATGCCAGGTCCCCTTCACAGTTCTGTCCCACTTCAGAGCTTGCAGTGGCTGTCGTGTTTTGTTTTGATTTAGCAGATCATTTCACCATAAAATAGCTTAGGTTGGAATGTATCTTACAGCCCATCCAGTCCCAACCCCTGGCCATGGGCTGGCTGCTCCCCAGCAGCTCAGGCTGCCCAAGGCCCCTCCACAGCCTCAGGAACCTCCAAGGATGGGCAGCCTGTGCCACAGCCTCACCATCTGCTCAGTAAATTTCGTGTACATTCATTTCCAGGCTCTTTTCAATCCTGTCCAGTGGCAGAACAAGGGGCAATGGGCACTAACTGGGCATAGGAAGTTCCACACAAACATAAGGAAAAATTTCTTTGCTTTGAGGGTGACAGAGCACTGGAACAGGCTGCCCAGAGAGGCTGTGGAGTCTCCTTATAGATTATAAAGAAGAAACAGCTGTACTGATGTTTTACTTTCAGTTAGGAGGAGGTTGAGCTGTTCAGTATAGCTGACAGGAGAAGCAATTGGATGAAATCTTACCTGGCTTTGGAAGTCCATATTTTTTTTAGGATAATGGTTTGCCCAGTGAGAGATTTCTTGAGGCCAGCCTGGTAACTTCTGTTTTCTGTAGCTGCAAAGGATTGTTCTGAATCCTCATCTTTGGCTTCTTCACTCTGCTCCTCACTAGCACTGCAGAAATCAAAAAGATGTGGAGGGGATATTATTGAAAAGTTTTGCTTTCTCCTTCACTTGAATTTCAGCTTCTTGAGTCAGGGTGAGTTGTGCTTAATTATAAATTAATTGGAACAACCAAAATTAGAGCTGAACATGGCCTTCTTCCAGTAGCTGGAAGCTCAATGACAGCTTTGTTAGATCATTAGTGACACTGGGCCTATAGCTATAGCCTAACTGTACCTCTAAAAACTCCTCAAAGTTTTTGGGATGTTCTAATCAGAGACTCCTTCCTACTGTTGACACTTCTAGGACCCCTTCTAACGGATGTGTCATGTTGGAATGCATATATGCACACAACAGTTCCTGTTCCAGATTTTTAAATGGCAAAAAGGTGGTAGTTTGAACTTAGTGCTGTGAGTCACATAAGCACAGCTAACTAGGTAAGGTGCACTGAGTTACAAAGTCTCTCTTTTTTGTCCTGCTTCTGAAATTCACAGAGCAGTATGGTCTGGAAATCACCAACAATGGTCCCATCACAACAGGAGCTCAAGCTACTCTTCACGCCATTCTGAGGACGAAGAACGACAGCACTGTATCAAACTTGTATCACTTTAACTGGATTTATGCTCCTCTGATCCTGATAGAGAAATCCGAGCAGCGGTTGCACTCCGTAATTAACGTGACTGGTGAATTTCCTGGGGCTTTTCCTGTATCTGTCTGGGTGACTCACAGAAACTGCTGGTTATGTCGGCCAGTTGCTAGGAACGTCACCATGCTTCAGATCACAGGTAAAGCAGAATTGCTGCTGCCCTCGCTAGCATCAGAAAAGGAAAGCCAGGCGGAAATATGGCCTCCAGCAGCAGTTTGATTTGTGTAGGCCTTCGTTGCAGGAGGTTTTGGCCAGCACTGTACCAACTGGGCCGTGCTGCAGGCTGCCCATCTCAGTCAGTCCAGGATTTTTTCCTCTCAGTCCTATTAGAAGCTTCATCTTGTCCCACTGTATAACCTTCCGTAAGTCAAGTAATCTCATCGTGTGTAACAACATTGAGTAATAGATCAAAAATACACTTAACTGTTTGGACTGGGGCACAGAAAGACTTATGCTGTGTATTTTAAGTCACGTGTCGGTACACACAGCATTCTATGAAAGTGATTCATGCTGTCATTCTTTGTCTACCTTAATTTTCTGCAGAATTTGTCACGGGGAATCTTACCATTGCCCAGATAGAAGACAGCAGATTTATCAAGCATGGTTCCAGCTCTTCTATGGGTGCTGTGACACGGATTTCTTTCTGTCTTCATGATCCAAGTGATTACTTCAAGTCAGCTTCATTTGTCTACAACTGGGACTTTGGAGATGGGTAGGTGTGGTTACTTTGTTCTCTTTAATGATTACTTAAGGTGCCTCTCATTCAGCTGTTCATCTAGAGAGAAATCCTGTTCATACACGGGATGGCACACACGCCTTTGCCCATTGGTATGACCCTGCAGCAGGGAGGATGAAACATGTCCAGCTATTTGCCTTCTCTTGAGTACAAATTTATGTCCAGCACAAACAAGAGTACACAAATAGAAAAATAAGATCCAGTTTTTGAATGCTGCATCTTTCTTCCTATCTTCCTTTTTTTTAAAAAAAAAAAATCTTTTATTTTTCCTTTTCAATACTTCAATTAGCTGTAGTCCACCTGTTTTAATGGTAGTTTTCATCTTTTATTGTTTATTCCTATTCCATTTTCTAAAGTCCTATAGCACTATTCTTGATTCTATAAATACACTGTGAGTCTGATACTGACTATAGTTTTACTGGTTTTACACCTGCTAACTGCAACAGACATTAATCCTTACTGATGAGGACATGAAGGCGAATTAGAATCATAGCTGACTACCACTGGCTTTAAAGAAAATACTCCTTTTTCAATGTTAAATCAGAAATAAGCAAGTACTTGATAAACTTCAGTTTTGATTTTCATATTGCACACAGAGTTTATCAGATTACCAAGGAGCCCTTTGTCTACTGCAACTGCTCCACCACGGGGAATCGCACAGTGCATCTCAAAGTCGTAGCAGAGTGGGAGCAAATTGGAAGCATCATACATGAAACAGAAACTGTGCAGAAAACTGGTGATTTTACCACTGCTTTGGAGCTGCTAGGTAATTATAAAACATTTTGCACGCTCAAAATAAAATGTTACATGTGTGTAGTGATGCAATCTAGATGGTAGGTTTTTAAGGTGGTAACACAACATAGGTGCTGATTCAAGTGGATGAACTGGTCAGTATTTTTCAATGAAGGGTTTGCATTCTAAAATGGACTTTGCACCATTCTGGTTCACAAAAAGTCTAAAATCTTCTGTTTCATTTTCATTCCTTAGAAGTTTCACTATCTTTTGTAACAGCCTCAAACAGACTCAAAACTTCAAATAATTTGTTTATCATACTTATGGAGGATCCGTTTGTTTAATTTATGATGAATATCCCTAAAAAATACATCTGTTAGAACAAGTGTTGTGAAAGTTTCATTGATTTGGTCAGTTGTAAACAAACACACTTCAATAATCCCGTGCATTATTATGTACCTGATTACATTCAAAAAAGAAATCACAAAGCATTCCGAAAACTTAACAACTTAACTCTACCAGTAGGTTTCTTTCTTCAGGGTGTGAGGAAGCTGTTGCTTGTGTGAGTGATGCAGCTACCATCTGCATGGTCTAAGAGATGAAACATTTACTGGAAAACCAGTGAATTTCAGGTTGTGTTCCATGTGATGTGCTTGCTTTCCTCCTCTCAGATGCTGTTAAAAGCATTCACGTAGTGGGCTCCAGAGAGACTCACGTCATGGAGAACTTGAGTTTATCTCTTCACATCAATGGCACGTAAGTAGCAAACACTACTGCTTTGCACAAAACACTTTATCTAAGCTTTTTTTCCTCCTCTGTTTCCTTAAAAGTCACTTGCACCCCACAGAACTGTTTGTTAAAGTCTTCATTGAAGAGAACACAGTTGAATACTTGTTTTTTCTTGACTTAAAATACCATGAACTCTAAGAGTCTGACAGAGCCCACATCTGTGCAGAAAAGAAGGATGTTAAAATGTTCATCTCCTCATCAAATCCTCATATAGAAAGCAAAGGTTATCTTTATCCCTTTGTAAATAGAATGTTGAAAGAGAACTTGCCAGAGGAAGATAGTGGAAACAATGACATTTTTAAACTCTCTTTTGAATTTTTATCCCTGACCAATTAATTTCCTCATAATTAAATCAAACTGCAGTCAGAGTCCTGTTGAATGGCAGCAGCCCTTGACTGGCACATGGGAGTGGTGAGTTTCAGAAATCAGTTTGACAAAGTAAAGGCTGACAGAAGATGAATAAGAGAAAGGGGCACCGCACAGTGAGAGCAGGGTGTTTTGTTTTTAAAGTCATCTTTGGAAGGAAAAGTCTGGAGAAAGATGAAGTTGTTGAAGAGAAATGAGTCAAGGAAGGAGAGGAAAATGGAAATGTCAGATTGCAATGTAATGAGCTGGGAAAAGTCTAAGTCGGGTAACTAATCACCTACCATTGTAGGAATGTAGGAGACTCAGGAGCACCTTGCTGTGAGCACAAGCTCTCTAGAGCTGCAGTATTTAGAATGTGTGGGGGTTTCTCATATAGCAGAAGCATTTTAAGTAACGTTTGAAGCACTCAGGAAGGTGCCTTCACCATAAAAATCTCCACGATCACAAAGAAATTTATTCTCCAGAAGAGTAACTCACCTGTGCTCTGCTACAGGGAGCAGATTTGCCTAACGGTGGATTTCCAAAAACAAACCAGAAAAGAGCAGGGCTGCTGGTAGGGGTGCAGGACAGAGGGAGCAGCACCCAATGCAGTCGTGTACCAAGGACAGAAGTGGTACGGATACGCAGCACAGTTTGCACTCAGCAAGGGGACTGCAGTTTGAGAGACTGGAAATTGCAAATATACAAGTAAATATGAATAGTTTAAAAAAATATTACAGGCTACCAGGCTTGACTCTAAGATGGCCATCAGTTCTTGCCAGACCTATCCTCCAGCAGCAGGGCTGGGACTGCTGTGACAGCAGTTTGTGACAAAACCAACAACAAAGGCTTGAGAGATGTGTCATCAAACACACAAACATGCTGCTTTCTTACCAGAGACTACCCTGAGCAGATAAGTACAAAATACTGGTAAGACAGTGTAAAGAAAAGCTCTGTCATCAGAATCAAAGTCCATAGTGTGTAGGGGGAGTCCAAGCAGAATTAGTTGGAGCAAGGACCTGACAGTGTAAATAAATGGCATCAGCTAGATGCTGTGAGAATGCATGCAGACATAATGTGGATTGTAGCTAGAGAGCCTGACAACTGAAATCTTTTTGTTTTTGTAATACCAAGATCCTTGCAAGTTATTTAACTATCCTAACTGTTAGTCCATTGTGCAGAGATCAATTCACATTCTTTTATTTCCTCTTTTTTTTTTTTTGTTAAATCAGAAGTCTCAGGTGCTCTTCAGTAGCACAGTGATCTCCACTGTGAAAAGAACAAAAACCAACCTATGTTCCCCTAGAAGAGGGGGAAAAAAAAGATTGCTTTTATCTCTGTTAGAGCAGAACATGGCTTTGCTATGCACAACGGCCTGCCTATGACCCACCCAGGTATTTAGCTTTCAGCTGAAAGGACTGCTGTTATAAAAACATCACAAAGGCTTTTTTTCAGTGGACAAACACTATGAACCAAGTAATTGCGCTGTTAATTACTTCTCTATTTGTAGTTAGATTAACCTTATTATTTTCTAAGATGTTTTACAGTTTTATCCCAGTGATTAATCAGCTGTTAGCTGAAAATTTTGGAGCTTTCAATGCACTGTTGTGGTTCTTACATGTCATTTCAGCCCCCCGCTGGCATTATGCTGGCTTATCAAGTCCGAGTGCATTCCATTAGAAGGCGAGAAGTGCCATCTGGTGGTGATCGCCGGCTCCTGCTACAACCTCAGCCATACCTTCAGCGACGCCGGGCAGTACTGCCTCAGCGTCCGGGTGCAGAGCGGCGTGACGATGCTGCAGACCTACCATGAAATAAAAGTGCGGCCAGCAGGTGAGTTGCAGCCACACATTCCCCACTGTCCAGGGTTCTGTCTGTCTCAGGCATTAACTTGCAGCTGATGAGGTTTCAGGAAGCATGAAGAGAAGGGAAAGCTTATATTGTGCCTACTGTAATTGCTCTGAGCTTTTTGTATCCTGCTGAACCCTTAATCTCCAGAGTGTCTTGAAGCTAAAGCGTTCCCTGGGAAGATTTAAATTACATATTTTTCAGTTTAAATAGTCTCTCTTATAGTTAGAGAGGATAAGTGTGAAAACATAAGTGGCTGTAGTACTCCCTTAATTAAGCAGCCTGAATTATTTTTAGTATTTTTTTTAAGGGTAGCCTTCTCTAATCTCCATTTCATTACATGTTTCTATTCCCTCAGCCAGCAATCCCTGCAGGCCACCCTGTTTCCTGCCCTTCGTGGGGCTCTGATTCATCTGAGAAAGAGGACCTGGCCAGGAGACAGCTGGACTGTGATAACAGAACAGTTACAGAACATCCCACTGGGACAGCACTTCTATACATCTAGGATTGCTCACTGCAGGAGGCAGTAGTGTACGCTCAGGGCATAGAGGTAGAATCCTCTTTGCTGAGGGCTACCAGCTGTTGCAAAGATGGTGCTTATCAAGATTCCTCCCTACCCATTCAGGGCATGACAGAGGTACAGACACCCTTGGGAGTTAGGGCTAAAACTTAAACAGCTTTTTTAGCCTGCTTAAGCTGACCCTTGCAATCCCATATTCCTACTTTTCTGATCGTAGAAAGATCTGAAGTAATCTAGGCTGAAAAATCTGTTCCCTGATGCACGCACATCCTTTGTTGTAAAAATGCGAAGAGTTTTCCTAAGACATCTTTTTCTTCTGTTGCCTCTTCTTAGTGTATTATATCACTCCAGGAATGTCCCCTTGTGCTCTTTCCCAGGAATCCAGCCAGCCTTCTTTGTCCTGCTGTGCCTCGCCCTGGTTTCAGTGATGGTAGGACTGGTGCTGTACACGACCTTTCGAAGTAACACACAACAGAAAGACCTTGTGGAGGTATTACTTTGAGCTGGGATAGTAATTAGATAGCTTTCAGCTATGTGTCTTCTTTCATCCTCAGGCAAACAGAGTGGGAGGGAGCATTTCTCTGGTATCTGTCTGAGCTGGCAGAGTTTAAGCAACAGGCATGGAGAAAAACATCCAGCAGGCTTCTGGAGAAACAAAACTGCAATTCAAGTTCCCAGGGCTATCATGTCTAGTTAGTTAAAGTTCCTAAGCATGTGCTTGAATTGAAGTACACCTTCCAGAGGATGTATCTGGAGCGGTTACACGGAAGAAAGCAGAGGGATGATGAGAAGGGATGGGGAACAGTAAAAAAGGATGGTTATGTTAATTGAAGTGACACTAAATTGTCACCCTCATCTCTGCTGGTGCCCTTCCATCTCCCTTGTGTAGCTTTTTACATGTTCATATTTATAAGGCATGAGCTCCCAAATCAAAGATAGCTTCTTGGCCCTTTGGAAAGTACCTCATAGAGGTAACATCATGCCACAATACGCATAAATGGGCCTCTAGGAGGGCTGCTGCAATCCTTGTGTCCAGCTGGTATGAATCTGTCACCAACTTTGAATAGATTTCTGATAGAAACTGATTGAGGACCAGGTGCCATTTCCAACCCAGAGTATTCTGCCTGGTTTCACTTGAACTGGTATGACTGGAATTAAAAACATTCTCATTAATGTTCCTTTTCCAGGTAGCTGACTTTGACTTTTCTCCGCTGTCCGATAAAAGCCTGTCTTCTCATTCACAGTCAGGCTGTGGCCAAGTATGTTGCAGATCATGTTTTCTTCAGTCATCTCAAGAAGCTGACAGGGAGAGTCATGAATTTCTACTTTCTTTCTACAAGCCAGTCAAAATGTACACGGTGTGAAGAACACAACTGCACTTTGGTTACACTGACTCCAAGTTTAACTTTCTCACGTGTGATGAGTTACAAGCCCAGTGCTGCATGAATGGTTTCTTTTTGCCAATGCTATGAGGTAAACCACTTCACCAAGTCCAGCACTTGAGTGTTTCATTATATAATCCAAAAAAGAAGGAGCCTGAAACACAACAGAAGTAATTTTGTATTTTAAAATTATACGGATGTATACATTTACAGCTGTGAAAGCAGCATTTTATTCTTATGAAAGATTATTTTATGCGCAGGTTTGCTCAACTCACTACCTCTTGTAATTTCTCTGTTCCTTCTGCTGTATGTTTCAAAAAAGAAAATGCTTAAAACAAACAAACATACTTCTCTTTCTTATGCTGTAAAAACACTACTGGAAATGCAAGTCATCCAAAAGGTGATGCTAAAAGGGAACTAACTTGTCCTGCTTGGGTGAGGCTTCAGCCTATGTCCTTCAGTGAAGCAGACTATGTAATTATGTCGTCTTTTCTCCTCCATCTTAAAAGGCCCCTTTGTTAAGTTAATGAGGTGGTGTGGGACTGCAGTAGCTGGTGACCTGCTCCTGGAAAGGTAGTGCTACTCACAGGAGCCCGGTGGGATGGCAGCAGCCACTGTGAAAGACTCTGCACCTCCAGCAGTCTGAGACCACTCCAGTCTGTATAAGTAGCATTTTTTCATAACATTCCTTCTTCTTTTCTTTCTTATGTTACTGCCCAGCTGGTCAACAAAGCTCCCGTGTCAAAAAAAGCAGTAACTTGCAGCTCAAAGTGCTCAGCAAAACACGCTCAATTCACAGTCAGTGTTCAAGCTGTATAAACTCCTTGTTCATTGCAGACTGTCTTCTGTGATCAGCTTCCTGCTCAGCCAGGTTTTTCTTCCTGCTATGAAGTATCTCAGAGTACCCTGGAGATTTTTTTTTTTTTACACTGAACTGTTTTGGGGCCCATTTCTTTTCTTAAACACAGTGCTGACATTTTTGCCACCTCTGACTTGGGCTTGGGGTTTTTCACCTGTCACAATTTATCCAGTGCACTGAATGAGAGGCACTCATTTGACTGAAGGGATTTACCATTAGGTTTCACAGTTTTTATTTCACACATCCAACTTCCACGTTTCCTTTGGGAAGCCCAGCATCTCAGTTCCTCTGCGAATGGAATTACATAACCTCAAAGGGGCTTCGCTATGTGATACATGCAAAGTGGATCAGGATCATCTAAAGTAACAACTGATCCACTAAATCCAAGTTTTTGTCTAGAAGTCCTCCAGGGCCGAACAGATTTCAGCTTTGGTTTTGGTTTTATGAAGAGAAGCTATGTTTGTAAGTAAGTGAGCCTGCTGGTTAGGAGCAGTGTCCTTTGTCTTCCTTCTCGTGCCCCAGTGTCAAGTTCTTATTTTTAGTCATATTCAGTCACTGTTTAAAATGTGCCTCTCCTTAGACCAGCAAAGAAGCTATTGTTCTCAGGAGCCTTGCTTTTATTGCCTACTCCTGAGATACCAGCAACCCCAGCCCCTGCCAAAGGTTCACAACTGTTCTGGGATGTCAGAGAGTTCTATAGTTGCCTACACAGTCCTTGGGCACTGGAAATGCAAACCAATGTGAAAACACAACTCAGAGTGACAGCAGCCCTGCACAGACTGCACAGTGTCTCTCTGCAACCAGAAGTTCAGTCTGGCCTTGTTTAAGAAGTCGGTGGCAGAAGTGTGACCATTCCTGGGATAATACACCTGAAAACAACACCTTGACATGCTAATGAGTATGTAAAGTCTTTCTCTTCCATGCTACACTCCTAGAAAAGTCAGTAGCTACAAGAGAGCAATGACTGTCAGTTGTAGATACCTGAAATAGAGGTAATTTTGGATGGAGGATGAGGATACCCAAACATCAAGATACGTGTTCTGCCCTAATTTCCATTAATACCTATTTTATTCCAAAGGCCTCACATGGTGTTAGATCACACACGTCATTTCCTTGACTGGGGTCTCTGTGCTCTCCCCAACACATCTGAGCTATCACCCCTGGCACCAAGCCTGGCTAAGGTGGATATCACCCACAGACAAAAAATTGAGGGGTGTGGACTTAGTGATGTGACAGATAAAAGATGGGCCTAGGGAAATCCCCAGGTCCTTACTGAGCAAAACAGAGCAAATGCCCTTCAGGAGAACGTTGGTTCTTCTTCTGTTCCTAGAATGACCAAAAGGTGGCAAAGGAGTGAAGGGATTCAGGAGGGTGGGAAAGATGGAGGGCCGCAACACACCAAGTCAAGGCTGTCACACAGTAGAAGACGTTATTCAAGAGCAGGAGGAAAAGAATGGAAGACAGAAAGATGGACAACTCTTGCAAAAAAAAAAAAAAAAAAAAAAAAAAAAGTGGAGAAAGTACACTTGAAAGGACGTGTCAAGAAGCAAATTAAGCAAGAAAATTTAAACAACCTGAACAAATTGAGGTATAAGCGTAAGAAACATTCTCAGGAACATGTTCCTGAATCTAATATGAAACTGCTTCCTGCACAGAAGACTGATCTGTGGGTTCAATAAAAGCCTCTGAAATTGAAGACAAGAGGTAATTGAGCAGCTCCGGATACAGCGAGGAGATCAGTGGAACGTAGCAGGGAGCGGCGGAGGGTTCGTTTTGTTAACCTCAGAAATCAGTGACCTGGAAAAAGGAATGTTCAGCAAAACCATGAAACTCACTGACACAAAACAAGAGTCCGGTGAGCACAAAGCCAGAGCCATTACACCGCAGTGATGTGTGAGGGTGGGAGCAGATAAAAAGTTTATGCAATTGAGAATTAGTTTCCAGGAAATGCATCTGATGACAAGAATGTTCAGGAACGGTATGGTATGAATATGTATGGTGAGAAAAAAAGAACGTAGGAACAGTGGTGCAGCATACAGGGGCACATAGCAGCCCTTCAACTCAGCAGCAGCACATAAGGCTGTGTCCCAGAGCTGAAATCCATCCCTCTCTCTGGAAGGGGATTATGCAGCCCAAGCTGTGACACTTGGAATTCATGAGACTTCTTTAGTATCTGCTGGATGCTGTAGGAATGGCAATTATTGCCTTTGAAAGAGTAAGGTGAAGAAATTCATATTTAAATGTTCAGCATTATTATTCAATGATCAGCCAACACTTCACCTTGATTTCAGAGAGCCAGTGCCCAGTTTCCGTGGAAACTGAAGTGCTATGTTGCAGCTGTCAAAGAAGTGTTCCAGTCCTGCAAAGCTGGGCTCTGACAGCTCGCTGAGCACTGCAGATGTGGGTTTTTACATCGAAGACACCAGTGTGGGAACACAGAAGCTCCAGAAACTTCTTTCTGAGCTGAGTGTGCTCATCGCTGGCACGCACACCTCCCACAGCAGTGCACAGAAGTAGAGCAAACGATGTATAGGGTTTTGAACAAAATAACACAGCTGCACAACAACAGACAACTCCACGAGCAAGTCACACTACTAGAAGGCTTCTCTGATCTCGAGAATACCCCAGCCAGAACAGTTTCTAATACATTTGCTCGGAAGTGTTGCTGTCACCATGTACAGTAGGCAAAAGGGAGCTGTGCTGCAGCACGGAGCTTGCCCTGAAGTGCTGCTGAGGCAGGTGCAGCTATCCGCACAAAATCCAGGTCTAAAACGTGCCGGAAGGGAGCCCTGCTCTGGCAGAGGCCGCAGTGTGGGTGCGCTGTGCAGCAGGGGGCTCCCGACATACAGCAATGCCACCGCGCTCTGCCAGCCAGGATTGTCGGGAGCTCCTCGCGGTGGCGTGAGCTAAATGCGCAGCCACTGTCAGTACGAGCCCCGCAGCTTTGGGTGCCGCCCTGAGCAGCTCACAGAGGCGATGCTTGTCGGCCACCAGCCTGCGTGAGGAACCTGCAGCCAGCACCGGGGCAGCTCTCAGAGCAGCGGAGCAGCACGAGGCACGCTTCAGCCCCACGGCTCCACTATTCCATCCCTCCTGCTAACACTAATTACAACTCTGGTATTCAAAGAGTCTTTTCAACTACAGCTAAAGTACAAAACGAGAGCAGACAGCAACAAAATCTCTCTTATTGGACCAACAGCGTGTACTTCACTGCAAAATGGAATTACACAGCTTTTTAGTTCACTCAGTTTCCCGTCCTTCATCTATTCCTCTTTCATTATATGCAAATTGTTCATTGCAATACTTTGAATTAAGCCAAAGAGAAAAAATGATCTAAAAATCCAAATGCCTCAGCTTCACTAAACAGTAATACTCTCAGTTTCGTTCAGTCCTGATAAATTACAATCTAATTACTAATTAACTCCAGGTTCAGTGCATTTCTCTCACCACAAAGCAGAACACCCAGTTTAAAAGACACAACACAGACAGGGCTGCCCCTGGTCCCGCAGAGCCCCGCAGCACCAGCCAGCTGCAAGCACAGGAGGGGGCTGCTGCCAGAGCAGCAGGATCTCGGCAGCACGTGGAACGCACGGCAGTGAGCACCAGGCCTAGAGAACCCAGAGCCCAGCACAAAAACGGCTTCTCAGCCCTTTCTCCTACACTGCTGCCATTTCAAATCCAGGTGGCTGAGGGGAGCTCCATGAGGGGTACTCCAACTGCAGCAGCATAGCACTGCTGTGCCATCAAACAAGCGCCATATTTCACTTGTGTATGAAATTATTCATACTTGGGAACACGAGTGTTTCACATCACAAGTCCACCCCCACAGGAGCGAGACATCCCTTGGCCACGCACACCCCAGCACAGACGGGAGCTGCCTGCCAAAGGATCCGCCAGCCCCAGCCAGGCCCCACACACGGCTCAGCTTCTCAGATAGCCGTGATTTTATCCTGCTTTTATTCTCTCTTCTGTTCTTTCCTTTCCTTTTTTAGGGCAATAAGTAGTGGTGTAAACCTTACAGACAGGGAGACACCACGTAATTAACTGCAAAGTACTCTACTTAGCTCTGTAGGGATGACATCCTTTTTCATAATACAGGCTGTGAGAAATTAGGTGAGTGGTGCATGCACTTCTTAATGAACAAGAGGACCCTCAAGTATTAGTAATGAAGTACAGAAAGAAAAGGCAGGACTCTCAGCAGGGAAATATCATCACTTGAAGTCTTCCCCAGAGATCAGATGGCACTTACAATTGAGAGACAATAGCTGCTTCCTCTGTGCCAGTTGGGACAGGCAGGATGCCTATTTGTGAGGCTTTGTGCTGCTGCATTCTGTTAGTCAAATGGAAATATCTTCTGACCTTCACAGCAGATGTTACCATTTTTCCCACAGACTGGTGGCCTGGTTTTAGTTGTACAAAAGCCCATAGTCCCAAATAGCAGAGATTAGACAGCAAGGTCAAGGTCTGAGAGCAG